ACTATTCTGTGATTCTATGATTTATTTGCAGTTCAGACAGGAACATATGGCTACAGACAGCAGTTAAACAGTTCTCATTGCTGAGATCTTGCAGAGGCAAAGACAAAAAGACTAGCAGTGCCTATAATCCTTCTGGCCTCTTGCAATACTCCTTCACTCGGGGGTCGCATGCATCAAAATCCAAATTGTCCATGATTTCTGTGGGTTTTGAAGAGGCTCTCAGACTTGCTCTTAAAGCAACAAATGTCCTTTTCCTCGTGGCTTACAAACTACAGCTATTCAACCCTCCCACCGCCACCTGCACAGATGTCGATTGTTTCATCAAGGGCTATCTCGTTCTTGAACACTGACTTCGAAGAGTGGGAAGCTGGCATTTGCGGTGCTTGTAAACCAGGGAATCTCCAGGTTCTCTAAAGGCTGCTACAGTTCCTCCTCAGAGGAGCAGATACATTTCTCACAATCTAAGCACTTGATGAAACCCACCCACACAACTGCTTACTCTGCACTGTCTATGGGAAAAAAGACCACCAGCAGCTGAAGTTAAAGGGATGCTTCACCCAGTGCCACAGACACCCCACGGTGAGTACTTTCAAAGTCGACCAGAGAATTCGGCATGGCAAGTTCAGTGATGTCCACTGCCCTTTGCAATCCCACATCAGCATGGGGCTGGATGCTCATGGAGAGCACCCATTTTACCTCCTTTTAGAGACCTGTTCCAGTGTAATCATCTCAGTTTTCCCTTACACCCCTGGAAAGATTACAGGTGAGTGACTCGGGACAGGAGGCAAAGTTAGGTGACTGAATTACCCACTGAGCATTCTCCATTAACAGATACCTGAGCAGATCATCCTCCCAATCCAGACACATAGATTAACTGCCTAAAAGTTGGTAGTGTGAATGCCCCCATGATATTTGGCCTCCATTAAGTACAAAGACGATGTGGGAAATTAAAACATGTAGAGACTTGAGAAAGAAACAGTGCTTAACTTACCCTCTGCCAAGGGAGATCAAAACAGGCTTCTCCATCCCAATCAGAACTCGGAAAGCTTCGTTAAGGTTTGCATAGGTGAAGTTTTCTGCTGCATCTCCGATAACCACGCAGTTGGGGTTTGCTTTATCGATCTCAGCAAATTCAGGGACAAGATCTAGAGGAGGAGGGAAAAAAAAAAATCCACAAACCCCTTACCATTTCAGATCCCATTGTAACTGATGGTCTTCCTCCAGATTGGTGTTTCCCTTCATTCACTACACAACACATTAAAAAACAAATAAATCCAAGTCTGAATCACCTGTTCTTCAGACCCCCTCTATTCCTAACTGGACCCTGCTATTCATCTATCCTACAACAAAGAGCAAAATTAATTATTTCCTACCCTTGCCTTACCTCCCACCACCTATGTATGTCTCAGCAGCTTGTTCTGTCCAAGAGCTGAGACCCAAGGCAAAGTCCTGGGTACCTGAATGAAAACAGGTAACAGTGAGGGCAGGATCTACCTCTTTTCTCCATCCCCACACTCCGCAGAAGAAAACACTTTAAACTGAAAACCTCTGCTCTGATAACAAAGACACTGCCCTGTCCTGCCGAAAACCTCACCTATCTCCTTGTCTCTGTGGTTAAGCAGCAGATTTCTCTGCACTCGCTGACCACCAGCACAACCATCTGCCTTCCCTGTACGACTGCCATAACTGAGACCTCGCTCAGGCCAGAACTAAGGTCTATTTCAGAGCCTCATGACAAAGGAAAAAGCATTTCCCTGTAGGAAAAACAACAGGTGGGAGCTCTTCATCCCACGAGCTATGGGAATTCCCTGCTCTGTTGCCAACACTATCTCTCTGGGCTGCCCCTCTACACGTCCCAGTGTCTGCTGCAGCTTTGTCCCACCATTGTGCACGAGCAAGTGCGGCCTCAGGCTGCGCTCCTTCAAAATGCGGCAGGCTGCAGGGGCTGGGGCGGTGACTTCGGCCACGGAGATGTCAAAGCCCATGCCCTGGAGCTTCTTCACGAACTTCTCCCGGGTCGCTTGGGTTTCGTTAGTGCAGAACCGCAGCTTCAGACCAGATGCTTTGATCCTGTCAAGTAAAAGCAGCAGAGGAGTTAACCAGACATGGAAAAGGAGCCAAGAGTATCAGCTTTGCTGTCCCACCCCTAAACTTGGATAATTAGAATAAAAATGCAAAGAAGAAATGCCAGAACAGGAGCAGGATCCCTTATCATGACCAAGATATGCTCAAAATATACTGATTCTTGGCACTACAGCTGCAGTTTTCATGTGCAGGGCCCTTGCCACAGCATGTAACTGCCCTCCTGAAGCAGAGAGCTAAGCTGGAGACAGCAGCACGCGTGATACCCACCATCCCCAGCACAGCACAGGCTGTCAAGCACACACACTCTCCACACATTAAAAACCCCAGAATCCAGTTCCTTTTCTTTAAACCAGTCCAGGGATGCAGACACACGTGAACCAAAGGCATTGACCAGCCACGAGTATAGTACCTGGTGAGATACCACTGGCTATTGGCATTTTAACTTTGATTTTCACCTTTCCACTTACTGGTGGCTTGTTGCAGTGATCTGCTGGAGGCAGCAGCATGGCTCTGCACCTCTGCAGACTCCAGGTAAGAGGCCAGCTAGTTGCAGTGATGCTTGTATCAACACTGGGGTGGATTCAGTTACATTTATCACTTAATCTCTCACAAAACACCTGTGCTGTTACTTGGTTGGTAACCCTGAAAAATATGGTACTTCAACTGATTCATTTACTAATGTTTACAGGTAAATGGCTTCTGAAGGGAAGAAAACATGTCCCCAAGTGCCCAGAGCAAGAACACTGTTCCAGTGGATCGGTATTCTGTAATCTCATGTAAGTCGTCTGCCTCTAAGTGACTTTGTTTCCCAACCCAAACTGTGGTGACCTACCAGGGATCAGAGTTACAAAATCTTTACGGTTGCAAAATACCATTAGGACCATCAAGTCCAACCGTTACCCCAGCACTGCCCAGCTCACCACTAACCATGTTCCTGAGCACCTCGTCCACACGGCTCTGAAACCCCTCCCGGGATGGGGACTCCCCCCTCCCTGGGCAGCCCTTTCCAACGCCTGACGGCCCTTTCCGGGAAGGAATTTCCCAAATATCCAATCTAAACCTCCCCTGGCACAACTTGAGGCTGTTTCCTCTTGTCCCATCACTTGTCACTGGGGAGAAGAGACCAACCCCGCTCTCTGCACCCCCCTTTCAGGGAGCTGTAGGGAGTGATAAGGTCTCCCCTGAGCCTCCTCTTCTCCAGGCTGAACCCCCCCAGCTCCCTCAGCTGCTCCTCACAGGAATTGTGCTCCAGACCCTTCCCCAGCTCCGTTCCCTCCCCCGGACATGCTCCAGCCCCTCCGTGTCTTTCCTGCAGTGAGGGACCCAAAACTGAGCCCAGGATTTGAAGGATATCATGAAAAGGCCTCTTCTCCAAGGATGAGTTGTCAGCTATTTGGAGAAGCCATGTATTTCAAAGTTACCATGGAAAATCTGAAGCATTGAAAATGTACCACCTTTTTTTAAAAATATTTGTCAAAGGGACTGTCACTCAGTTCCTCAAACATATTAAAATGTCTAACTTTTGTCAGTTTTACTGTGCATTTGTACATAATTATCTCTGAGGACTTGAGCTCATACAGGTTCAGACATCTACGTAAGTTTGGGTCTAGGCTTATAAATTGTTATTAAAATATCATTACTTCTCTTTGTGTTAGGAGGAAAAAGGACTTCTCTGTTAGGAAAGACCCTGCATTGATTCTCAATACAACAAACCATGCTGGGTTCCATTTCTAGGGAAGATGATCCCAATCGGTCGGTGTAAACCCCAAAACTTCCTCGATGTAACACATCCGACGGCAAACTTTCCATCAAAGGATTCTTAGAAATCCGGTCCTGACCGAGAGAGCCCCTTCGCTTGTTAAAACTGCACGCCAGCGTCATCTCCAATAACGCAGGTGATTCATTTCTTTCTTATTATTTGTCTTTCCTAATCATAGGTATGTGAATTATCAATTACACTTAGTGGTTAATTGCCCTTCATAAAGATAGCTTTTCTATTTTAAATTAGGCAGTTAATATATTGTAACTAATAGCATCCACTTGTACATTATAAATATATCTTCATTGATTGGAGCAGTGAATGTGAGATTCACTCACAAGTTAATGAAGCAATTGAGTGAAGAAGTGCAGGGTGTACCCAGGGAATAATTATTGTTAATGAATTATGATATGACCTTCTCAGAACAATGAACAATTGGTGTGACAATGGGATGACAGTATTCCACATCTGTTATTCAAAACACGGTTTCAGCTGTAGTTAAAAAGCAAAGCAGTGTAATTTGGATACATAACAAACTTTAATAGTGTGTGCTATGGTTAAAAAAAATCTTATTTTAATTGCAAAGCCTATCTGCACACTCTTAGGAAAAAAAAAATCCCAGGATTCACAACTGCCTGGAAGCAGACTTCTGCTGAATAAGAATCTATTCTTTCTCTTCCTAAAGGTCAGCGAAATGAATCCAGGAACACTAACCACTGACTTGCACAGCCAAACAAATGTGCTCTCACAGGTCAGCTGGGGGAAAGGAAAGACTTCCTATACTACAAATTTAACTTCCTTCTCAGAATTTTAGGTGAAAAACAGAGCTACGCTTCTGAAAGGCATGACCAGAGTGGGAAAAGTCTGGACACCTCCTGGACTACTTCACGCTTTTGTGGCCACCAGCAATTACCACCTCAACAAATGAGCTCACTTAGTGCTTAGTATCAGATGACATCTACAACGAGGTAGGCCAGGCTGGTCAGAAAGCGGGAGTCCTCTGGTGAAACATGGAAAGGCTGGTCAGAAATATCCTGGAACATTAAACAAAAGAAAAATCAACAAGAACTCCAGAGAAGACTTATTTCTATAAAATCACCTTTCCAACAAAAAGCCACCTTTTCCTTCAAAGTCAGCACCTCTAAAAAGATCCTCTGGTAGCTCTCCGCCAAATCCTTGCATGATACAGTCACACACACTGGGATGAATCCATTCCTCGGCACAGGGACTAGGAGCAGAGCCTGCAGACCAGCACGCATCAGCAAACACCTATTAACTCAGAGCTTAAATAATTAGGGAGACCTTTTAACAACAGCTCTACACAAGGGAAATCGTGGCTCCGCTCATGTTTACAGCAAAACTCAGTTTTCATAGCTGGGTTTCATACCACGAAGAATTAGAAGGGATGGTTTGAAGGCCCCTGACAGAGAGGAAATGCTTGGCACAGCGAGTCAATACTGCACTGGGAGCCCTGCTGCTAAACGGTCCGGCTTAACGGGAAACCTTGAGCTGCTGAGCTGACCCAGCCACCCGCGTTCACATTTTAAGAAGCACGTGCAGAGCAAGTTACTGCTATTTCTAGTGCCAGCAAGTGTGGGGATGTCAGGAGAAGAATAAAGAAGAAAATGTGTAATGTGATTCCTTCTAAGATACAGAGCAAGGGATTACACGCCTGCAAGTACAGAAGAATGAGGCAACAGCAGACGAAATACACAGCACACATTCTATCAAGATCTCCAGCGTATTACAGATTTATCAGCGTCTATATTACAGATTTATCAGCATCTATATTACAGAAGCAGAGGCACACCCAGGAAACCCAGTCAATCAGGGCTTCAGCCGACTTCCATCTATCGCGGCTGTGATAAAGCTCCCAGTCAGACTCCAGAAGCACCAGAAATCAATCCTGATTAGAGCACAGGGAGACAGGCAGCACTGCGCTCCCACACCACGGGGCCTCGGCATGGCACGGGTAGCTGCGGACATGCCCAGGCCAGCTCTTGCTCCCTGGTTGGGGCCATCAGCAGGCACACCATCAAACAAATCCACCCCAACACAACGGCTCACGCCAATCCTAATGCCCACAGGCAGGAACGGGGGAACTTGAACTCCATCTGGGAACTAGGCGTGAAGGCAGAGCAGCTTCTGCCCTTCTGGGGTGTCACAAATGGCAAACTCAGCTAAAAGCATCTCTGCGGCATCAGAAACTTCTCAAAGTTGCTCCGAGAAGTCCAGCTGCACCCTTCCGGCCGTACCGGCAGAGCAGGCACCGGCTGCCAGGGAGTTGCCATGGCACGCAGGCACTGAAGCAAAGGAACAAGTCCCAGAAGAAACTTCCAAGCCCAAAATCATAGGCAGACAGATGAGCACCAAACTAAGGCACCAACAGGTGGGTAAGATTTCTCTAAGCCTTACTGGAAGAGGGATTTATACCCACTCCAGAGAGAAACAAGCACTTGGTCACCCAAACAATCCCTAAAACTAGGACCTGGCATGCCTTGAGCACCCATATAGGGGAGAGATGGAAATGAGGTTTTTAATTTCAGCCCCTCACGCTACGCCAGCTCTCTGAACTGACCTTTACCTC